TATCAGTTTAATGCATTATGATTTCGTTATGAGTAATTTCTAGACTTTCGTTATATTCTCTTGCCCTGTTTTGGCCAGTAATTTTATGTACAGGACAAAAAATGGGGGAAAAAAGGAAAGTTTTTGCTTTATGGTCCACAAGTTTTCATCACTGTTGCTAGAAATTATAATAAAACTATTGACAGGTCTTAAAAACCTAACTTTTTGAATTGAAGTGGTTTTTAAACATTACATTAAAGCCTCCGTGGCTAAGTGATCAGAGTTTGATCCTTGTCACTTCATTTCTTGCTTTTTCGTAGTCTACCCCTGGTGGAGTATTAATTTTTAATTAGTCGCGTTAGTGATGTTCTTTCTCGAATTGCTATCCATATCATCTATGGTTTACTAATTTTAAATCTGCTCAGTAAGCATATTTTCAAATTGATCTGATTTTTAAGCGGAAACTCTCAGGGAGGAATTATTCGCCAAGAACTGTATTATCTTCTCAAAGATGAGAAAGACGTCCACTTTGCATTTGGAACAGTACGAGGAAAAGGGATACGTGAGGCAAGTTATGGGATGGCCTTATCGAAATTCTGCCTAAACATTGCTGGGGATACCCCATCCTCCAATCGTCTCTTTGATGCCATAGCAAGCCACTGTGTTCCTGTGATTATTAGTGACAAAATTGAGCTACCATTCGAAGATATCCTGGATTACTCAGACTTCTGCCTCTTTGTCCGTGCCAAGGATGCTGTGAGGAAAGGCTATCTGCTGAGTCTGCTAAGATCAATCACGGAGAAGAGGTGGACTGAGATGTGGGAAAGATTGAAGGAGATTACATTGCACTTTGAGTATCAATATCCATCCCAAACTGGGGATGCTGTGAATATGATTTGGCAGGAAGTTGCGCATAAGGTTTCTTCTGCACGATTTGATTTGCACAGGAAGAACAGATACAAGAGATCTCAGCTTCTTGTCAAGACTGACTGAAATACTGAGGTGTTCAAAGGTCGGCGCATTTATTATTTTGGTTCGTCATATTTTCAAGCCACATTTCTCCATTTTAACTGTTCTTCAGTTGAAGCTCTCATTTTTTCAGTTGTAGCTCTAGTTTTGATAAAGTAGATAAAAAAATTGAATCATTTTTTTAAATCACATGGGTATTGAAAAATGGAAACTTGTGAACCAGGATCATCAGCCATTGTCTTGTGGGCCTGTCATGATCAATTTGGATCATCTTGTATACAAAAAGTCTTATTTTTAGCCCCTGGAGAAACCTATATCGTGATTTGGCTGCTGAGCAGGGATGTTAGCAACTGCATCATTAAAGATGTCGACGAAGTTAAGAACATATGCATACTTTTTTTTTTTCCTTGCTACCAAGAACATATACATATATATATCTAGAGAGAGAGAGAGAGATAAAGAGAGAGCCTTGTCATAAGAAAATAAAAAATGCACTATATTCTGTATTTGAGAGCTAACATGATCATTAACTATCCAACTATTGGTACCTATGATTGGTCTAACACTCTCATTATCGTAGCGCAATTATGGATTTCAGCTAGCTGATAGATTCATGGTAAACACGTTGTAAGGAAAAGAAAACCGTGGAAACCCCACCAACCTCCTTCAGAATCCTTTAAGCAAAGAATGATATAACTCGCCTGTTATTTATCTGGGCTGTAAGAGTCTAAGAGAGAGCAACACCAGCTTGTCACCATCTGTTATGAATAGGGTCTGAACCTTTTTGAGCTGTTCTTTTGTTTGACTGATCAGGATCGAACGTCATTGAAGGTGCAGGTGCCAATTCCGTCTTTGTTTGCAAATCCTTTGTTTCAACATCCTTTAGGCTACGAAAACTTCCAGGAACTGGTGATTTCTCCTCATCCCACCTCAACGCAAGATTCTTGCTTGTCAGGCTACAAACTCTGTATGGCTCAGAAACTAAAATCCCAATACAAAATAAAAGAATCAATCCTCTGAAAGTGAAGTAACTCATGCTTCTATGAAACGGAAAATGTTGGAGGAAGGAAGCTTCTTTGTTTAAAGCCAAAATAGAGAGGAGCTGGGTAGCTTGAGTCAAGTGTTATTGCTCATGTCTGCAAGAATAAGCCCGAAGTTTATCTTCTATGGGATTTGAGAGGATGAAAGCATAAAGCATGAAAATGCCAAGGAGCAGAAGATGTGGGGAAGTTTTAGATTCGCCTCAATCATAAGCATGCTATAGAAGCTAATATATAAGGCTGTTTTAGACGACTCTGACAGGTTTGAGCAAAAGTGTTGATTGGAACAATATCCTAGGGAGGACAAGCATCTTTTCATTCAGTTTCCCTACATCCCTATAATTTGCCTTGTGCTCTTTTTTACCAAACAAAGACCGAATCTTCCTTCTCTTGAACACTTTATTAGCTTGCCAGGTCACTGAACTTTCTGACATGTCCTTGTACCATATCTTTAAGACATAATAACTCCTGCACATTGCTTAACTGAACCAGCAGTGCCTCTGTAGTTACTATTGAGAAAACAGATTTTTCTTTTTCTTTTTAACATGATATAAAAAACTCAACAAGCGTTTTGTAGCCGGTGTCGTGTCTAATACCAAGGTTCTGACTGGTTAATTCCAGAGAGGCCTCTGTTATCTTTCTGAGTCCGTAAAACTACAAGAATAAAAGCGAATCTTGAATATGTTCCATGAAGTGCTCATGACCCACTGAACTCTGTTGTTAAGAAAAGTTGTATGGATCTTTAAATTTCAAGCCGAAACTGATTTTTTTTTTTTTGGTTTTCTGGATTGAAAACAATAGGAGGAAATTGATAGTTTACTTTATTTAGGCAAGAGGATGAGCCCAGGTATATCGGTGGTATGGGTAAAAGAAGCGAAAGGGTGAGAATGGGGAAGGGAAGAGGGGGAAGAAAGGCATTAAAAGTAGAGAAACAGGAGAGAAGGTGGGGGAGTGTGAAAAACAAAACGAAGCAGGAAGCGGCTTTTGTGTTTCCGGCAGCAGCAGCCAGCACTCTTTACGGGTACTAAGAGCTATCTTTAGAATTCCAAGCTCTACTCTCCATGCAACTAAAATGCACTTGTCCTGGTTTCTTGTGCTTAATGGACTTCCTTTATGCTCTTCTTTCCTCTCTTTGGATTGCTTAGCCCCAACCCTTCCCCATTCAAAGTTTGAAACAATATGTTCTCTTTTTCTTTCCACTTCAGCCTCTAAACTTGGGATTTGGATTCCTCGCAGTGCCTATATTGTACAGTGCGCAAGTTTGAAACAATGCTTTTATACTTCTTTTTCACTTGAGCTCTGCATCAAAAATTCATTGGAGGGAATTCAAATCTACTAACTTCAGTTCCTCCTTTGTGTCGTCTCGCTTGTCCATAAGTGATGATAACTAATAACGGCTTGAGATTATAAGTAAAATCAAATCCACAATTCCTTACTCATAGAAGAGCTTTTGAGCCGTTAAGCTATAAGATTATTAAGATTTGGTCTTCTTTTGATTTGCTTTTACAGGTTTGGATACTTCCAATAAACCAGTAAACATTTTTTAAAATTTTTGGGGGAGGGGGAATCAAGAGGGTAAATCTCATTACAAGAACAGAAGCATGGACTGAAATAGCGCTTATGGCCCATTACTGTCTTAAAGTAAAAGAAATATCTGACTGCTTTTTTTAGGCTTTAAAAAAAGTTGAAAATAAAAATGAAAGCTGTGTTGCTTTCCCGAAGAACCATTCTTCCCCATCACGTTTGGCTTTTATGAGAGGAACACTGCAAAATGAGGACCATTGAGGAAATTATTACTTTCCATCCTTAATACAAGAGTTAGTTTAATTTTTAATTTGATCTTAAATATAATACTCAAATTCACTTTATCTTTCATATTTATTCAATTTTTTCAAAGTAATCCTTATAATAACTGCACATGTTAAATGTTTCATCAAATAGTAGTTTTAGCTAATATATTTATTAGCAAAGGTATTTTATAAAAGATAACACCTATTTATTACAAATAACTAACTTAATTAATTTTCTTAATATCTTTAAATTAGTCAATTAGATCTTATACTAAGGACTGGAGGTATTATTGTGAAATGGCCCAGCTAGAACGCAGCAATGCTTCTTTAATAACTATAATGCTGACCCAGAGAAATAGATTAGCATTCATATGATAATGCTAATTATAATTAAAGCAAATAGGATAATGAAAGCGATGCAACGTGACCCTCGTATGTCTTGCTTTAAGAGAATAATAATAATAATAATTAATGATAACAAAAGCATAATCATAAAATGGTCACTTCTTTAAATTCAAGTTAATTATATCAGACGTTCTCGTTCTCGCACAAAACGTTGTGAAAAATGTCCAATATCGGGACTAGTTGCTATGGAGCATTTAAATTTAAAATATCCTCATTCCTCACAAGGCTCCAGCTCCGATTGCCCTGTCCCCCGTAGAGTTGCTATGGATTTTTTAAATTGTTTGGGCTGACAAAGTAAAGTCCATGTCCGCCCACTCAAGCCCGTTTTTCATGCAACCAACTTATGGGTATCTCTTAAACGGGCCATCCTCCATTTCCTTTCTAAAATCAACCTATCTGTACCAGTAAAGTTTGGCTGTTCTAATACAAAAATATATTTATTACGAGGGTTTTAATTTTAATATTTTCGAATTGATAAAAATTAATTTTAAGTCTAAAATAATTTAAAGATTTTTATATCACATCCACACAAAAAAAAAAAAAAATTGACCCTAACCAAAGAAACTAATCTTTTGTAACATGTGAATCAACCCAATGATTGGATTTAGTGAAATGAGTTGATGAGTAAAAAATTAAATCTCTAAATAAGAGGACACATATTCCTTGTTATACAGGCTAATAAATTAAAATACGAGATAGATAAATCTATAATACTTACCTAGGAGTCTTGTGTTTCTTATGTAATTTAAAATTTTGCCCGAGATACTTATAATTGGTAAATGTATGATTTTTTTTAATTTTTATTATATATTAACAACTTCATTTATTCAAAATATAATTTAGTGTGTAGCACATATTTTTTATACAAACAGAAGTATTTTAATTTCTTTCAAATCGTCTTCCTCATCCGACCCGCAAAGCGGAAATGGGCGAAAATACGAACCTAAAAATCTAAAATCTAAAATCAAAATCCAAATCCCTTCGCTGCCTCACGTTCTCCTAAGTCCTAGCGTCTCGTGCCCCCGTCGTTTCTTAGTGCTCTGTGGCGATCATCTAGGGTTTTACTCTAAACCCTTGCTTTCCCCGTATACTCTTAAGTCATGGCGGAAGCAACTGCAAAGGAAGTTGAGGAGACCAACACTACAACCACCGTAGACATGGAAGTTGAAAACACGGAATCGCCTCAAAACGCCGGGGGCAACGGCGGCTCTGAACCCAATGGCACTGATCCCGCGACGAACGGCGAGTCCAATCTGAAGCGGGAACGGGAAGAGGATGAGTCCCAGGAAGGCGAGGACGGAGTTTGTAAGAAGCCAAAACTGGAAAAGTCAGTGGAAGAAGAAAGGCTGGAGAAGTTGGAAGAAGGGGTCCAAGAGGAGGAGAAATCGGGTCCCGTGAACCTGGGTTACAAGACTTTTGCGTCTTCTGTTGAAATATTCGATTACTTCTATAAGTTTCTTCATCACTGGCCTCCTCATCTGAATGTTAACAAGGTAATAGCAATTGGCACATATGTTGATTCTCCCCCCTGTTTTGGTGATACGAAAGCGCAATATATAGTCATATACAAAGATGAAAAATTTTCGTATTTTGTCTTTGCTGGCACAGCTTATACACTTAATTTACCGGCTTAAGCATTTGATTAATCCTCTGTTGCATCTTTAATTTATAAGTTTACCAGATATCTAATTCACAAGTTAGTGACTGGAAAATTTATCTAGATTATGTCATGCTGCATTAATTGTGCAAGTTTTGTTTTTTGATGGTAGACTACGCGATAATGGATGTCATTAGAAATAGCTGCTATAAAATTTATTACGTACGTATGGGAAGATGGAATTTTTTTTGACTCCCCATTGTGCTATGGTTCCAAGCTACTACCTCCGCTCCTATTTATAAGACCTGGTTTGCAGATTGCAAACGAGGTCTTATACCGGAAGTAGTATTTGAATTGGATATAATCAGGGAGCTTCACCTGCTTTGTCTGGAGAGTTGGGAAGAGTCTGTAATGAAGATCTTCTTCCATTGCTCCCTTGCAAATTGGAAGTTTTTTCTGATTATCTTTAACTACTTTATGATGTTTTCAAGTTTTCAGGCATTAGAGCGGAATGGCTTTTCTTATTTTCCATGATTGTTACACCTAAGTATCAATGTATTTTCCTTGACATTTACTGATGTATTTATCCGAAATTGGGTACTATGTTTATTATATTGATTATGGGTGCCTGCGGTTTCCACTAAATATTGGGTTGAACAATTCTTGCACTTCCTGTTTCTGAAAAACTCTGGCTATATCCTTATTATGATCTATAGCCTCAAAGTCAATCTCCAGCCACCACAAATTTCACTGGCATTTCTTCCTTTTTAGTAGGTATGTGCATATGTGAATGTATTTCTTCGTGTTGCAGAATTCTTATGTGCTTGCCATCTTTGGCGCATGTATCACAGAGCATCTTAATTTAGGATTGAATTTCTTCTCTCTCTGGGAATTTTTTTTTTTTTGCTCATATGTAAATGTGAGGATTGAACTGTGTCATTGACTCATTGTACCCACTTCCTGAATCCTCTGAGCTTAGTTAATTCTGTGCGGGTTGTTTTGTGGGGCAGTATGAACATACAATGCTGCTGGAATTGCTTAAGAAGGGCCATTCAGAACCAGATAAGAAGATTGGTGGAGGGGTCCGCACATTCCAAATCCGCAACCATCCTACATGGAAAAGCAGGTGCTTCTTCATTATCAGGGAAGATGACTCCGTTGATGATTTTAGCTTCCGGAAGTGTGTGGATCATATACTTCCATTGCCGGAAGAGATGAAACTGAAGTCCCATGCGAACAAGATGTTAGGTGGTGGAGGAGGAAAGGGGCGCGGAGGAAGAGGCGGTGGTGGTAAAGGAGGCGGCCGTGGACGTGGGAAAGGAGGGAAGTTTAGGCGATGAGTACAATAGATGCTAGTCCGAATTGGTTTACAATAGTTGAAATGTTTTCTGTATTTCCAATTTACCATCTTGTTTCGTTTTCCTTCTGCTCTCTCTGATTTATATGTCGACTTTCTGAGTTAAATTCCTGCCCTTTGCAATATAATATAACACATTGCTCCAAAGTTCACTCGAGGATGGAATTGGGGGTTATCATTACAGATTTTACAACAATAATAAGTCTTATCCCATTACTTAACACGAAAATAATTTTACAAGTGTATATGGAAGGGGATTTGTTTTTAAAAAAAGTGTAAAAAATTTATAACACTGGTAAGATTGTATTGATGAAAAGCTTACGTCAAAACTGATGCTGATCCTGGAACCAGGTATTTTTATTTTCTAAGTCAGTTTATTATTAAGTTTAAAAGTTTAATTTAAATTGTCCGCAAAACTTGGCCGGAAAAAAAGGGAAAAGGTCAAAAAGAAGAGAAATGAAATGGGCCGCAACAGTCGCACATGTACATCTGCCGTGGCAGGGTCCATTGATCTTCTTTTAGGCCCAAGATATTTTGGGCCCAGGTTATGAGTCTCAATTGAGAATATAATTCATCCTGAATTCGCGGGGCCCAAGCACCAAGATGGGTAAAAACGCCGTCGTATGGAAGGCATCGCACTTGAATTTGTCATGAAACTAGGGCTGCACATGGGCAGGGCGGGACCCTTGCCCGATGCCCAGCCCAAAGAATGAACGGGCTGGAAAATACAGCCCGTTGCCCAGCCCTGCCCATGAAAAGCCCTAATAAATTTGGACTGGGCAAATGCGGGTTGGGCAGGGCGGGCTTCTATGCCCAACAAGTCAATATACTATATTAATTAACTAATTATTTATATCCTTCTAAATAATCTAACGTAACTTTATTAAAATGGAAACTTGGTCTTAATTTTGTTATTACTAATTAAATACTATGAAACTACTTTTTGTAGTAGCTAAGAGGAGTGGACTATGACAAAAAATATTGTTAGTATATTTTATTAAACTTAATTATTTTTCTAGTTTCTAACTCTCAAAATCATTCAAAAATAAATAAGTATAATGAATACTGAATATTGATACAATAATGCGTTTGATTTAGGAAATAAATATGAGGCAAATAAAATATATATAAATAAAATTATATATATTTTTGCGGGCAGGGCCAAATGGGCAGGGCAATATACCGTGCCCGATGCCCAGCCCTGCCCAACAGTTTGCCCAGCCCGAACATGTCCAATAGTTCTTTCGGGCCATTTTTTTTAGGATGGGCTGGACATTTTTTTACGGGCTTGGGCGGACATAGCGGGCTACTGGACTTCATGAACACCCTTACATGAAACGCAACGAGCACATTTGGCGCCCATTTTCGTCGCCGGCGATGTTACTCGGCCTTCTTCCCTCTCACCGCTCCTTTCATGCTGTCTCCAAACTCCGTTTCTATCACACTGTTGCCCTTCGCATCTCCCAGCCCCAGCATCCTCCAACTGAGACACCACCTTATCCTCACCTGAATAAGAAACATCCAAACCCCATCTCAGTCCCTCCCTGTAACTTCCAGAAGCAATTCGTGATTTCTGCATTAAAATCTGCTACCCAAAAGACCCACTTTCTCCAAATACAGGCTCACATTCTCCGTGCATCCCTCGTTCAAGACCCTGCAATTTCCCTCCCCTTCTTGTCCCGTGTATCTCTCTGGGGTCCCTTCCCGGATCCTACATATTCCCGCCGTTTCTTTGACCAAATCACCATCCCTTCGGTTTCTCATTACAACATCATGATCAGAGCATACTCTATGAGCTGCTCCCCTGAGCAAGGACTCTATTTATATCGACATATGAAAAGACGTGGCATTCTTCCAGACCCATTGTCCTCTTCCTTTGCTGTCAAGTCTTGCATTAAGATTCTTCATCTTCCTTTTGGGGTTCAGATTCATGGAAGTGTCTTGAAACAAGGGCAACAATCGGATAGCCTTTTGCTGACAACGCTCATGGACTTGTATTCGCACTCTGAGAAATTGGAGGAAGCATGGAAACTGTTTGATGAGATGCCTCAGAGAGATACTGTGGCTTGGAACGTCATGATTTCTTGCTGCATTCGTAATAATCGGAGTCGGGACGCTCTGAGTTTGTTTGATGTTATGCAGAGTAAAAGCCATAGTTGCGAACCCGACGATGTTACGTGTTTACTCCTGCTTCAAGCATGCGCCCATTTGAACGCTTTGGAATTCGGGGAACGAATTCACAGTTACATTACAGAACATGGCTACGGTAGGTATCTTCGCCTGTCGAATTCTCTCATATCCATGTATTCTCGATGTGGTTGTATGGATAAGGCTTATCAAGTATTTAAGACAACAGACAATAAAAATGTGGTTTCATGGAGTGCGATGATATCTGGTTTGGCAATGAATGGGTACGGGAAACAAGCAATGGAAGCATTTGAAGAGATGCAGAGAATGGGGATTCGTCCTGATGATCAGACATTCACGGGAGTTCTTTCTGCTTGCAGCCATTCTGGGTTAATCGATGAGGGAATGTCATTTCTTGAGCGTATGAGTAGAGAATTCGGAATAATTCCCAACATCCATCACTATGGGTGCGTGGTTGATCTCTTGGGGCGTGCCGGTTTACTTGATCAAGCCTATCAACTTATCATGTCAATGGAGGTAAAACCAGATTCAAAAATATGGAGGACTTTACTCGGGGCTTGTAGAATTCATGGACATGTTAATCTAGGAGAAAGGGTAACTGAGCATTTGATTGAACTGAAAGCTCAAGAAGCAGGGGATTATGTTTTGCTGCTAAATATCTATTCCTCGGCTGGTCACTGGGAGAAGGTAGCAGAAGTGAGAAAACTAATGAAAGAGAAAGCAATCCAAACCACACCTGGTTGTAGCACAATTGAACTGAAAGGACAATTGCACGAGTTCATAGTGGATGATGTTTCACATCCAAGAAAAGCTGAGATTTATGAGATGCTGGGTGAAATAAATCAGCAGCTGAAAATTGCAGGGTATGCTGCCGATCTATCATCTGAGTTACACAAGTTGGATGACAGCGAGAAGGGGTATGTGCTGTCTTGCCACAGTGAGAAGTTAGCTGTAGCTTTTGGGGTTCTTGTAACTCCGCCGGCCACAAAACTGAGAGTGGCCAACAATCTACGTATATGTGCTGATTGTCACAAGTTCATGAAATATTTTTCCGGGGTGTACGGCCGTGACGTGATTGTGAGAGATCGCAACAGGTTCCATCATTTCCGAGGAGGCCAATGCTCCTGTAATGACTATTGGTAAGGGACATGTTGAGATATGTGAAACCAATGGCCAGCAAATGGAAACTTGGTAGCGGGAAAAAGATTTGTTCCTGATGTTTTCATTCCTTTATGGAACTGCCGACAGAAAAAGAGTTATCCTTTGATGAATATTGAATAATGATTTGCTGGAAAAGCAGCTTATTTCTTTGGTGATGCTCCAGAGGATGCATTCCACCTCACAAATACCAAATGGACAAAGTAAATTGCGAAAGGCTTCCGACCGAATATCTGGAAGATAAGACTAGGTAGTGGCTCTCTGGAGAAAGGAATTTATTACTGATCATTTTAACATTTGTTACCCAATAAATATGGGATGTTACGAGGAAATGGTACCATGTTCTTGTTGGAGCCTTGATGTGCGGTTGACTGGTTGGGAGGCAGACAGAACATGAAATAGAACGAATGGGAGAGGAATAGGGTAATCTTTTTTAACTTGTGAAGTCAGAATCTAACTTACAAATCAGTGAAGCCAAAGGAGAATTTCCATAGAATTCACTTGATGTTCATGTCATGTCATGTCATTCAAAGTTCCATGATACAAATATAGCAAGGTATAATTAATTACTTCACCAATATTGAAAAATATAATTCTTGTTTTGTTTGTCTGGGTAGTGTGGATTTTGACATTAAGCTTTCCATATAACTCGTCTGGGAGTGAGTATCGTCTAAGACAACAAAGGAAGAATACTATCCCATTATATTCCCCCATCGCCTCTGCACTTCACCTTCTTTTTATAAGCAGGGAAGGCCTTTGCCTTCGCAACATCTGTTTCTTTTTTTAAGACTCATTACCTGACGATAATATATGTAGGTATATCTATAAACTTTATACCCCATATTTGTATTTAGACAAACAAAACAAGCAAATTTTTGCCTGAAGATAGCTGTTCTTATTCTCAATTTTCTGTTTAATTTCGACGTGCAACACTTTCAACTGCGCAAGCTCTGAGGAATATAAACATATTGTAAGATTCAACAAAAGGGGGGGAAAAACGGAATATATTGTATGAGCCGACAATGAATGGATACTCAACACAACTGTTTTACTAAATATTTAACTATTCATTTATCATTAGTTGAAAACTTCTGAAGTAAAAAGATAGAATTAGAAGTTATTATATAAGCACAATAAATAATTTAATAATTTTTCTCATATAAGTAAAAATAAAATTATAGACAACATTATTGAATTTTCATGCTTAAGTTTGGTCCGTTTTCCCGGAGGCTATGGACAAGAAGTTCCGTCTCTTCATATGATTTATTCTTCAAAGAGAAAAAGTAAAGAAATAACTAATACAATATTCGAGGGGGAACCATATTTAAGGATTTAAATCAATAAAAATTAATTGAAATATTTTTATGATCATAATTATTAACTAAAACGACCAATAAGTTTTTTTAACAAATTTTGAAAAAAAAATATTACTATTAAATATTATTAAAGTAAAACAAGAAAATTTTCGTTGTGATTTCCGCGTCTCTACTATATTATTTAAAAATGAATAAAATTAATCATTCTAATAAAATAGTAGCCCGTTATGAAAGATTAGCTGTAGCCAGAAATGATTTTGTATTTATACATTATATTGATTATTAGCTTGGGTAATTTTGTAACAACACTTTGAGGGAAAAAACTGGTTACAATTCCTTAAAATTTCTCATAACACGTGAGGACAAATTGGATCTTTGATAATAAGTACTCCTCCGGTTTTAAATATAAGACCTTTATACACTCTGGTATAAGGGTATGGAGGAGTGTAATGTTTAAGATCTTTTAATTTAAATGTTTTAGATGTGGATTAGTGGATACACAGATATATGGCGGTAAAAGTTCCCTTGATTTGATGTTGTGATGGTAGGAAGACCTTAACCTGGCTTAGCTAAGCTAACCAGCGGACAAGCAAGTTATACTCAAACCGGTGAACCAGTTAGGTGACTTGCGATAACAATTCTTCCAAATTAAATTCAACGTTTCTGTTGAGAATTTATCGATTCACTTTCTCCCAATTTACCCGGCCTCAAATGCCAACTGCAACACCAACAATATTATGTTAGAGGTATTAATCAACATTAATTATAATTTATTTTTAAAAAAAATATTAAAGTTGAGGGGTCTGAATTTTTATGCTCAAGCAATCTAAGTTTTGGCATGAAATGAGGCGTTCGCAGTTCAAAACCAGGGCCACTCACCCAACAAATGATTCAAGTTCTGAAGTTCCGTCAAAGAAGATTTGAATTGGCATCTTGACACTTAGATTATGTGCATTCAGATGCGTCAATGACTTGATATCCAATACATGTGGAATTTTTGTGCGAAAAAAGGAAAATTGTAAGAGTAGTTGCGAGTTGGTTTGACTGGGTGTGATAAGTTGGGTCATCAAACCATCTACTTCATATTACGTCAATTGGTGCTACCCTCTGAACCCTTTATATGACTGGAAAACTCATAACTATTACACATTGAAACCGACAAAAACTAGGAGCCTTTGAGAAGAGCCTGGAGGGATAACTAGACAAATATGAAGCTTAACATGGGGCTGGTTTTTGTGGCAATGGTCATTTTAGGAAATGAGCTTCAGGGATGTCACTGCAAGATTGTGCAGTTCATATTTGGAGACTCCCTTTCTGATGTTGGAAACAACAGATACCTCTCCAGAAGTCTTGCTCAGGCAAGCCTCCCTTGGTATGGCATTGATTTTGGCAATGGCTTGCCTAATGGCAGATTCTCCAATGGCCGCACTGTTGCTGATATAATAGGTACACAGTTTCACTTTTTAGCAGCCATATTAGGTTGTGCATGGCACTGTATCCTTCAGGCTCCAATTCTGCATGGCGCTTAAGTTGAGTAGCTAAAATGTTGCACCATAACTTGCAATTATAACTTTTTGGTCCCGTTTGGTACAAAGCATAGAAAATGAGATACGCGGACTGGAATTGCAATTGAAAAAAATTATTAAAAAAGTTTTTAACATGAGTAATTGCTTGTTACATGGAATTAGGCAAAACCATAGAGGTATGATTGGAGAATACCACTTTCACCCATGGTATTCTTCAATCCCACATACATGCATTTGTCTAATCCCATGTAATGAGCAATTTATCATGCTAAACAATCTTTTAATAGAATTTTTCAATCCCAATCATAATCCCTATCCTCATTTTCAATATTTCGTACCAAAGGATACCTTAATCTATCAGTAGATGTTTGAGTCTAATGTTAAAAGTGCTATTGTTACTTCTTCTTTTTTTTCTGTGTCTCAGTGAATTACAAATTCATACAGCTATTGCAAGCTTTAGTTTGGTCATAAGGTTGTTTCAGAATTCAGGTAACCGTATTGGTATTCTGCATGTTCAGGTGACAAGATGGGACTTCCTAGGCCACCGGCATTCTTGGACCCTTCTTTAACAGAGGATGTAATATTGGACAATGGAGTGAATTATGCCTCTGGTGGCGGCGGCATATTGAATGAAACTGGAACCTATTTTGTAAGACAAATGGAAAAACTATTTCATATTCTGTGTGCTGTGTTTGCTAATGCCATTTACCATTACCATTAAGAACACCACACTAAAACATGTCGGACAAATGATGGCTCTTTCAGATTCAGAGGTTTTCTCTCTACAAGCAAATTGAGCTGTTTCAGGGAACCCAGGTATTAATCAGAAACAAAATTGGGAAAAAGGCAGCGGAAGAGTTTTTCCAGGGAGCTCGCTATGTGATTGCTTTAGGGAGCAATGACTTCATCAACAACTACTTGATGCCTGTTTATAGAGATTCATGGACATACAATGATAAGACATTTGTGGAGTACCTGATGACAACATTAGGAGACCAAATCAAGGTTAGTTAATTTTACTTTTAACAACAGAAACTCTTTCTTTGTTTCTTTCTTTAACTTTTTGGCTATAATTTTACTTTTAACAACAAAAACTTTCTTTGTTTCTTTCTTTAACTGTTTTAGTTGTCATGTCTGTTGTTTCTGTTTAGATTCTGCATAGCTTAGGAGCAAGACAACTGATGGTGTTTGGGTTGGGACCAATGGGCTGCATTCCTCTCCAGAGAGTGCTTAGTACTTCTGGGAATTGCCAAGAAAAAACGAACAATCTGGCTAAGAGCTTCAACAAAGCTGTAAGCAAGTTGGTAGATGACTTGGTTGCTCAACTTCCTAATTCAAGCTATAGATTTGGGGATGCCTATGATGTTGTTGACGATGTTATAAGCAATCCAAGCAAATACGGTTAGTAATCCAACATTTCAAGCATGTTTTTCAGTAAGATTTACATCTGGCATTGTGATACTAAGAATCATTGTCATTACAATTACATTTGAATCTGTAGGATTTCAGAATTCAGACTCGCCCTGCTGCTCCTTTGGGAGAATACGACCAGCTCTGACATGTCTACCAGCATCAAGTCTGTGCAAAGATAGAAGCAAGTATGTGTTCTGGGATGAGTACCACCCGACAGACAGTGCAAATGAGCTGATTGCAAACGAGCTCATCAAGAAATTCGGATTCTTACGTGGCGACCAAACAAATGCTCCTTCACCTGCCCCAGCTCTTGCTCCTTCTCCCGAAGATTAACAAAAGCCACTCATGTTACTTGTAATGGAAACAAACATCTCTCTGTTATTTAACCTGTTATTTGGCCATAATTTTGTTGTTATCTCTGTTTGGTTATAAAAAAAGGAACTTAGCTATACAAGAAACAAGTTTGTGAGTCATTATGTTCAATAATGCTCCCTTGCAATGGCAACATTGCAGTATGACAGTAACTTTAGTAGTCTGTATTGGAGAGATCTGGGCCCTTTAACCATTATTCTCTGTTTTTGTTTCACTCCCTCCAGTACATTTTGTGCTTCCTTTCAGAACCACTTAACATTTCTCATATCCATGCTATTTATTCTAAAACCAAAGTAGCCTGTGTTTAGGAAGAGAGTTTGTATGATTACCCCCTAAAAACTGTAGTTTTAGAAATTATAGCGCTAATGCGCATCTAGTAACTTGAAATATTTTTTCAACAGTTCAAAGTATTTGAACTAATTTTTGCAGCATTCTAAAATATTTTTCCAATAACATCAGATGTCCTAAAGTAATTTTTTCTGCTATGTTACCTTTAAAGTAATTTCCTCACTAGCACCTAAAATTAGGGTACTAAATGCTATAGTGCTGAATATATCATAAATTATTTTAAAATTCTAGTTACCACTGAAAAATTAGTTTAGAATATACATCTAGGTGGTGGGTACAACTTAACCATAGATTCATTGTATGAATAAAGGAGAAAGTGGAGTGAAGGAGTCCAGCTAACAAAGCATAGCAAGACAACTTTTACTTTTACTGATCTAAATATTACTCTTAGTTTATCATGGCATCAGGAAGAACTAAAGGCATAACAAAAGCTGAAGAATGAAGCAGATATAGGGACAAAAGGTTCATTTCCTAAGCCTAGGCATTAGGCAATATAATCCCTTTGCTTTGATGTTTGATAAGTTTTTTTAATTCTACCAAACGTGTCGATCACGCCAACTTTGGTGGCAACTCGTCTTTCCATCTCGCACTTCATATAGAGTTATGAATATTGTATGAAAATTGAAAAGTATAATGAAATATACCTACAAAGATTGTGAATATCCTGATTGGAATCTGATCTGCCATTAACAAGTATTATAGCCTTACAGTTGTACACTTCCTGTATATGTACATGCTCTTTTTTGCCTTTTTTTTTTTTTTTTGCATATCTGCAGCATCAAAACTTTTGTTTTAGGTGACATATATTTAACCATATTGTTAGAAAGCGATAATAGAGAATGAGAGAAATACCAAATTTGGGTTCAGGGCAATCTATTGGGTGCACTCACCTAAAGAATGGAATATTAGAGCATATTCTATTTATTTAGGCACAAAAAGTGCGTCTAAAAAAAAGAAGAGGAAAAACAGAGAAGGACACCCAAAATCGCTCACTGTGAAAGTATTTCAACTTATAATAATCATCCATACTCTTTTGGTCCTATTAATAGAGCAGAAAGAGAATATTTTTTTGTCCTATTTATAAGTCACTTTATTAAATTTTTAGTGTGGATGTACTATTTCATCCTCTATTTATTATAGTGTAGATAGTTATCTTTTTTGAAAGATATATGTATTAAATAGGAGTAAACTTAGAAATTTATTATATTTTAATGGAGAGTTAACACATTTTAAGGTTTTTCTTGATCTATATGAAATATACTAGAAGTACTTTATAAATAGAACCAGAGAAATATTTATAGAGCCGGTAGGTGGGATATTTTTTTATGGGAAATTTCAAACAAAGCAAATCAATGGAGGGAACTTATTTTGGTAATAACTATAGAAGGCCATTATTTCATATTCCACAATGAGCAATATACAACTTAATGACTTGAAAAGCCAGATACTTTGGGAAGAGGGCGCAGGGGTCACCCCGCCAAGCACTATAAAAATGTCAAATTTCCACAACTTTGGTACATCACTTTCTCCACTCAAACATATCAAATATTTAATTACATATTTGTAATTAAGTATCCTGAAAGGGCTCCAATTAGGTCAGCAATATGAATGATTACATTAAACAATTTGGATTAGCTTGTAAAACACATTGGAAACACTTGGTCTTGCAACACCAATCAAACTATGGGTCGACAAATGGCATTTCAGCATTATGTTCCCATATCCTTTTGGGCAAAAGATGGGCTACATCAAAAGCCATTTGTCGGCTTAATGCCAAATGCACCCCTCATATATAAATATATGTATAATCATCAATTATTACAAACAGTATTTTATTTTAAGACCTTTTTAATGTAACACCGGACATATATTTGGCACCATGAGTGTCCCATATCTAATCAAAATCCATATTTTTGCTTGGAACTGTTAAATTATCCATGGTAGTGAAATTTAATCCTCTTGCCGATTCCATTTTTCAGCTCCTTTTTCAATATTAATTTTATACATTCTTATATCTTAATAGTTGTATGAAAGAATTCGAGACTTGAGAACTATTTATGCATTTTGTGGAGTTTTTTTTTTTGTATTTACCTTCCTTCTTTATGGCTTTAAAATAATTGTTTTTTTCTCACTATTCTAACATATGCCTAAGTAGTTGAGTCCAACCTTAGTTTGTCCTTTTGTGATTCTGGTTTATTAATTATCGTATATTTGCTTCCCACCAAAGCTAAAACTTTTAAAAAAAAAAAAATCTCGAGCGTTGGAGTATAAATTATTTTACCGTTACATGTGACTGTCTTTTATTGGCGGAAGTAAGTAGAAGCTTTCAACATCAAATCAAAATGTTACTTTAAAGGTGGTTAAATTTAAAAATATTATATATTATTCTCTTTTTTGTTCTTTTTATAAGAATTTATTAATTATTTCACATATATTAAATAAATTAATTAAAAGTAGTTTGAACGAATATATATGTGTTTAAGATACGCGAAAAACATAATTTAAATTATGTGACTGTTGTTAAAAATAAGATTGAAAAAAAAAAGGTGCATGGTTGAATAATGATGGAACAAACTACGTACTACCTCCGGTCCTATTTATAAGAACTAGTTGACTAATTTGAAAAGATTAAGGAAAAAAGTTAAGTTAGTTATTTGTAATAAATAGGTATTGTCTTTCTTAAAATATCCTTACTAATTAAGTATATTGGCTAGAACTATCATTATTAGAAGGATTATCTTGGGAAAAAATACATAAATATGAGAGACAAAGTGGATTGAGATCTTATATTTATTATCAAAATAAAGGTCAAACAAAGTCTTATATTAAGGACCGGATGTAGTATTATTGATTTGATTGGATCTACAATAAGGTAAATTGACAAATATGTAGATGAGGCAAGGTGAAATCCATATAGTCCTCCGGTCCTAAATATCATTTTGTAATATAAATTATATTACAAAATGAATTTTATATTTAGAATTGGAAAAATACCGTTTATTGTATATACTTGATTTTTGTGTTTGTTATAAGTTTAATTTATTCATATATTGGCAAATTCCTAAATTCATCTAAATTTAAGTAGTAATAGAAGAAACAAGTGTCTTCTTGGTGAGTCAAATTACATGCATTTGATTAATGCCTTCACTTTTACATACTGATTCCTTTCTTTGATATAAGAGCTAGTTGATTAATTTGAGTAGATTAAGAAAATTAGTTAAGTTAGTTATTTGTAATAAATAGGAATCATCTTCCCTAAAATGTCCTTAATAATCATGTGTATTAGCTAAAATTACCATTTGATAAAGTATTTAACATGTGTAACTATTATGAGGACTATCTTAAAAAAGAAGAAGATAAATATAAGAAACAAAATGGATTGGAGTCTTATATTTAAGATCAAATTAAATGTTAAATTAGTTCTTATATTAAGTACTCCTTCAGTCCTAAGGCCGGAGGAGTATATCAATATCATCAAGCCAAAATGGCTATTATCGCCGAATTAGACACAGCCTTGATCTGAAAGATATATGTGATAAGCGCCATAATAATAGCTCCAGATGAGCCGTGAACAACACAGATACTGAAGGATAATTAAGCAGGAATTGAACGAACACAAAGGGGTCTAAATCCCCAGATGAATATTATAGATACTAATCAATAATTCGAATTATTAAACTCTAGTAGTAGTAGTAGTTACTTCTTCATCGCACTGCACATAATTGCTTGCCTTCAAGACAGTAGACAATTAAGCATCAATATCCGTGGCTGCTTAAGCATGATATTGAAGAACAACAGAACATTGCTGATAACCGCACTTGACATTGTACAATCGTAATATGAAGAACAATCCTACCAAAAGGAACCCAAATAAGATTATTCATCACAGCATTAATATCATTTCACACACAAACGATCATGGGGCTCTTGGAGTGTGACGATTATTGGCTCCTGAGGGTGGGTAGTCATGGAGTTCCAGGTCCATTCTCTCAGTAACAGTGTTTGGCTCCTCCAACTCCGCGTTTCTCTCTGTTGCAATCTGTAACAATAGCAAAGGTTCCTGGTTAACATGAAAGAATCTAGTGTGAAATTTTGCACCACATAATAACTTGTCCTATGGCCTCAAGTTTGTACCTTGTCGGTGTTCTCAGAAATAACATCATGAACTAGGGGGCCCTGCATAAGGTTCTCAGTTCCTGCATTTACAAACGCGCAATCAGTAGAAAGAACAAGGGGCTAAAGAAGAAGCAGGACCAAGAGAACATAAGAAAGGAAATATGTTTTTACTTGTGATTGGGATTGCTTGCAAAGATAGAAGATAAGAGAGCCCTAGCAGAACAACAAAGAGACGAAAGAGAACGCTCGCCATTTTCTGCAATAGAAAGCTTATTATTAGAAACAAGCTCAGTTCTCTAGTGTGTATGTTGCTTCCCATATGGTGGGTGGCTCTCAGTTTATATAATGCTGGGGTGCGTTAGATTTTTGTAAATGTTTTTGTGTATGGCATGTGGGTGATTGGAAAAGCAATCATATTGGCAAGGGTCAAAAAGGTGATAACAACCCATCATTCCGTGGGGGAACAACGCGTTTTCAGTCTCTGGTTTTATAAAGAATAAGGCCAGATTATTAATACCATCAACATGATCATCATGAGGAGATAAAATTCTTGTGGCTTGTGAATAAGAAAACACAAAACCAGTATTTAAGTCAAAGATAGATGGTGACAGAAGATGGGGTACACTATGGAAGTGGAAAGATGACGCGTAGGTATGTTTGCAGGGGCAAAACCTAAGCTGGTACACTGATTGAGGTCAATGTGCAGTGGGATTTACCATGAAAGCTTGAGCATATTCCATTTTTTCCTGTATGAATGGCATCAATGTTAAACAGCCAACCCAGGTACATCCAAGAAACTCACTGAAAAGCATAGGCACTCACACACAGTTGTAGTGCTTCATTGCCATTATGTATTTTTCAACTGAAGCATAAAAGCAAACAGATGATAGGCACCAAATGTGGCAGTGATTTCTCCATCTCTGGGTCATTGTATGGGAATGTCAAAGCAAACTCGTGCGTTGGTTCTTCCGCCCCTACCTAGTGCATGCAAATTTCGAAGATATTGGCAACGTCACTGTTCTCCACTAAGTCAGACTCAGATAAACACAACAATCCTCTCTCTCTCTCTCTCTCTCTCTCTGAGGCAAATGAAAATATAAACTTTTGTAATGAATTTAAGAGGGGATTAAAGGATCCTTAAACTAGAAGAGAGATCAAAACTTCGAAATTTCAAAGGAAAAGGTTACGCTGACCTTAGGCAGAAAGATAAATTTTCTATTTTTCACTTGAGTGGTTGCTCTCTTTAATGCTGTCCAACGTGCAGACGAATTTAGCAGTAACCATCATGTAGTAAAGTACTATAATAAAAGACGAATGTGGTTGACCTTGGGAAAATAAAGGCTTTTCACATGGCTGGGTCATTTCCTTAATGAAGATGGATTTAATTATAATAATCAATAACCAGACAGTAAAGTAGAAAGGTTGTACAAAGCCATTACAGAAGAAAAGGTTGTTAACCCCAGCACCACGCAGACAAAACTTATATATATATATATATATAGAGAGAGAGAGAGAGAGAGAATATTATAGATGTATTACGTACATGTGGAAGTGTGAATTGATATAGAAAAATCAAAAATGGTTCTCAGAAGTGAGATTTAAGGCAAAAAAAGCACATGCAGCATACAAAAGCCTAAATACTCCTCCGGTCCTAATTATAAGACCCAATTGACTTATTTGAGGAGATTAAGGAAGTAAGTTAAGTTGGTTATTTATAATAAATAAGTGTTGTTATTCCTAAAATATCCTTGCTAATTAAGTATATTGGCTAAAACTATCATTATTAGAAGGATTATCTTGGAAAAAAATGTATAAATATAAGAGACAAAATGGATTGGGGTCTTATAATTAGGACCAAATAAAAAGTCAAATGGGATCTTATAATAAGGACCGGAGGAGTACTTGCTAAGCTGCTAAACCCGGTTCATATTGCTTTCTGCTTCTGATGCCTTTCGTGCTCATTAATCTTTGTAAAGAAAAGTAATATTCAGCTTCTGGGAAATCCTCCATCATTTTGTATTCCCATTAGCTTTTAAAAAACTAATTAAATAGAGGAAAAAACCCTCATACTCCCACCGGTTTTAAATGTAAGAGTTAATAAAAAGGTTTGTTTTGATTCTAAATACAAAAATTTAATTCAATATATTTTCAACTTAATTTATAGGTTTTTTCCTCAAACTCTTTTTATTGTTTGCATATATCAATTGTTATTTTTATTAAAAGATTAGTTTTCAACGCAACTTACTAAAATATTACTCCCTCCGTTTCTTATTATAAGAGACATTTGATGCTTATAGCATGTTCCTATATATAAGAGACACTTAAAAGTTGTCTTTACTTTTTTGTGTTGATTTCCTATTTTACCCATATTTATTGTCTCCAACTCATATTCTCTTTCCTTCCCACTTCTCTTTCTTTTAAGAATTTACCATTGTTCTCTCTCATGCTCTCTCTCCTTATTAATGAGGACATTTTTGGGAAAAAAATTATACTTTTTACACATTAATTGTTCTTAACTAATTTTAACTAGTTTTTTGATCAACGTAATTCAGTTATTCGTCTCTTATAATAAGGAACGGAGGGAGTAATATTTTAGGGATATCAATATATATTTAATAAATAATAACTTAACTAATTTTTTTAATCTTTATAAAAAAAATTAGTTATTTAACTCACATTTACGGCAAGAAGGGATGACAAGGGTACAAATTAAAAGGTACTCTTTCGTCATTTATTATAACATCTAATTTTTTGAATGAGTTTATTTTTTTTTATAAGATCTTTTTTGAATTTTTCTGAGCATTTAATATATTATTACCTATTTTATCTCTAATTTAATACATTTAATACATTCTCTTTTTTATTTATCTTATTATTACTCTTTTATATTTATCTATTTATATATAAGTGTATATTTAAAAAAATTATATTTGCTATATGTTAATTATTTTTAACTAATTTTAATTGTTTTTTTAAACAATATAACTTAATTAAAAGAATTTTATAATAATAGACGGAGGAGTACAGCTCATATGTTTATTTGGTTCTTGCCATCTGCTACGTCCAATCTTAATTTCAACGCACCACACCAATCCAGGATTGTGACATCCAACTTTTAGCTAACGCAATTATTATGTGGACATTAGTGTCAATGGTGGTGTGTTTTCATGTCAAGTACTTTCTCCGCCTCTTATTATGAGAAATAATGATCAAATCCACCATATTCAAAATGTTAATTAAATATAGTTAGAAGTAATAAACATATAAGATATGTATACTTTCTTTTAAAAAAAATTATATCGTTATTTGTAAAAAGAGTAGGAGAGATACTCCTCTGGTCCTATTTATAGGTCAGAGAGAGAAGACACTTTTTGGTCCTATTTATAAGATACTGAGAGAAATTTTTTGTATAAATGTACAATTTTACCCCTTATTTATTATTGTATTGACTTTGTATGTATGAGGTATAATGTATATTAAATAGAGATAAAGTTGAAAATTTATTAAATTTTAAATGAGAGTTAATAAAATTTAAGATTTTCCTTAGTTTTTGTGAAATATGCTAGAAGTGTCTTATAAATAAAACCAGAGGAGTAATAAATAGAATTCTGACAAAACAAACATAATGAATAGAAATTTATTACAAAGAAATAATAAGTGGCATGTATTTGATGGAGTAAAAGTGAAGAGATCAGCTTAAAAGTTTGTTCAAAGCCAATTTGCTTATTATATTTAAAGACGTAATATAAGAGAGATTGTTAATGACGGAAGTACTATTGATCAAACCGCTATGAGATGTGAATGTGCTAATGGTAAGGTCAAAATGGGACTCCATCAGTAGATGAATTGACGGGTCTTAGTCCAATCCGAAATCATTTCTTGACTGATATAATTAAGACTGATAAAATTAGCAAAACAAGAGAAAACCAGTAAAAATATTGAATAAAAAAAGTATGTGTGTCTATATATATATATATATATATATATATATCAATTTTATTACCACTTATTAATTATTACCCAACAAAAATTATAACACTGGGCCTTTGCTTTAAAGATATTCAAGAAAGAAAGAGCCCACACTTGAAAGTGAAATTTTATTCCTTACTTTCCGCTAGCTGACACACACGCGACACGTATTTTTTTTAAAAGGGAATTAAATATCACCTTCAAATTTAAACTCAAAATTATTAGTGTTGGAAGGAAATTGAAATCATCATGTTGGTAACGACTTTACTGGGTTGCATACCCACGAGGCCACAGTGTGTAATGGGGGTTTTATCCCCTCTTTATGTTTCAAAAAAGGAAGAAATTTAAATCATCCATGTGTTGAAGAATAAAAAAAGCCTACTCCTCCTATCAAATATTAGCACTATGTCTTATCTTTATTATAGGAATTATTTTAATATTTAGTTTAGTTTTAAATATAATATCACAATTTATTTTGTTTATCACCTTCATTTTTTTTTTAAAATAACCCCTGTAGTAGTTGCACATATTAAATATTTTATTAAATGATAGTTCTAACTAATATGCATGACTAGCAAAGATATTTTAGGAAATACAGCATATATTTATCACAAATAATTAACTTTATTAATTTTTTTAATCTGCTCAATTTAGTCTACTAACTGTTATATGAAGGATTGGACTATCAGAGGTAGTATATTGTTTGAAAAAAAAAAAGATCAATATTTAAAATATAAAGTAAGTTGGTTTGTTTCTTTTCTGCACATAGATATTCTATTGAAAGCAATTATATTCAGGTTACTATCAGGTATTAAATATGAATACCTCTTTTAATAGGAATGTGAACCTTGATTTGTCTTTTTTTTTTTTTTTTAACCCAACTTTTGTCGGTTAAGTTGATTTGTTTATACGTGGTGCTTATGGAGAAATCGGAAGAATGGGCCAAAACGGTGTGCAGTTACTGTGAATAAGAGAAATCTGGGCTATGAGGAACAGATGCAGGTAGGTATCTTGGGCTTCATTGGGCCCATAATACTACACCATCCACGTTCTTCTTTCTTGCGGCCCAATAGTGACTCGTCTTTCCGAGTTGAAATTCTTATAATAAAAGAAAGAACAGTTACGATTTTTTTTGGTCTGAAAAACGTATTGTTGATTCGAAAAGGCGTAACAAACTCGGGTTTGCTGCGTGAGCGATGATTGATTGGTGATTCTATTCTTAACTTTTGCAAATGGAGCAAACCTACTTGAAAAGAATCTACTTTTTGCCCAGCTCTGATTTTCGCAAAAATTGCATTTTCTTTTTTACTTGTGTAATGCAGAATTGCATATCACATCTCTTTTTTTTTTTTTAAAGGGAAG